ACTGAGATTGTTGGTGTTAATACTATCGTTAGGGAAATTTTCAGTGGGATTGCACTGAATTAAAGGAATTAGCACCTTTTCTCACTTGGCAAATTTAATCTTGATTAATGAACTCACAGTTGATCTCCCCAGAACTTGATTAATCAACTCACAATTGATCTCCCCGGAACTTCCAGGAATCTCTAATACAGAATGGGGGGGGGGAGGAGGGGGGGAAGCAGCTAATGGCTGTGTTGGCTAACTCCTGGCCAATAGACAATATTGTTCAATGTACAGTATCGAAAGGCATCAAGCTGGTAAATGTTAATTGGCAAGACTTAAAATGACTTTTTTAAAAAATCTATCCACCAAAAGCTAAAGCAGATAATACCGGACTAGATTATCAACAGAATTAAATGTATCATCTTGTCCTCACATATTACATGTACCCTGATGGCTTCAATACATACAGTACTAGAGATAAATCAATTAAATATCTAGGTCTGGTTCTTAAAAAGAACTCTGCTGCAGCTGTCACAACTGCAAGAGCTGTCCTGAATCCCCCCACCCCTTCTCTGATGTTTCTGCATTTCCCTCTTTTTATATTTCCATGGGATTTTGACTGTAGGTTGACAGCATCACTTTGCCCCAGATCTCCATGCTGCTCTGTGAAGCAGCAGAGTTGATTTTCTTCAGTCTTGAAAGTTCTATGTAGCTATGTATTTAGGGCCCACTCAAACAATGCAGTATTAGTTGTCATAAAATAAACCAGTCAATAAAAATATCTAAATCAAAATAAACAATATAAGAAAACCAATGCAAGCAGTTATTCAGTGTTTAGAAACTAAATTTTTTGCAGTCTCCCAGATGGCAGCTTTAATCATCCTGACCCAAATGCTCAAGGCAAGAGACTGGCTTTCACTGTCTGTCTATCAAGAGATTGGATAGGCAGATCATTCCAGAGGGCAAGCACAGCCATGAAAAAGGGGGGTTAGGGTTGGGCTGAACTCCTGATAAGCCCCATCTCGTGATTTCTTGGCCTTCTCCCCACGCAATTAATCCAGGGGTGAAAAAATGCTTGCGGTTCGGACCGGATTGCCCGATCCGGTAGCAATGGTGGCAGGTGGTTTGGAGAACCGGTAGCAAAAATCTCTGCCCCCCCTCCCAATGCCCAGCTGAGCCGCATGATCCTCAGAGGCTTTTTTTTAACTTTTAAAAGCATTTTTTCTTCGGCCAAAAAAAAATGCTTTTGAAAGTCTCTGATGATCGTGCGGCTCAGCTGGGATCGTCAGAGACTTTTAAAAGCATTTTTTCTACAACCTTTTCGGCCGAAAAAATGCTTTTAAAAGTTAAAAAAAAAAAAAAAGTTGGCCACGCTCACATTACCCCACCCACCAAGCCACGCCCACAGAACTGGTAGTAACAAATTTTACATTTCACCACTGAATTAACCTTGGTGTTTCAAGGGTAGTTAGTCAAGCAGTGCCCATGTTTCTGAAAAGGTTTGACTTTGTGCAAACCCAGCAACATGTAGCATGGTCTAGGCAGGAGGCCAATTTTGGTGCTCCCTGATTGATCATGGGGAAAACATTAACCAGCTCTGCTGAAACTTCAAGTGATAATCTGTGTCTTCACAGGAAGTGAAGTAGGTCACTTTTCTAGCTCCCAGGTCCAAGAATAACCATTGACCTCTGCCTTGCTAACATTCATTTTTAGTTTAGTGTATTTCTTTTGATTCAGGCTGCCTTCACTTCCAAGCAACCATTCAACACTTGTGCAACATCTCCCAATTCAAATGGAATAGAAGATCAGAATGTGAGTCATTAGTAAACAGCTGAACAGAGGAACAGAGTATAGTAATAGTAATACAATGTTTACATTTCCTGCTATAACAAAATATTATAATCAACACTAGCAAAATCTGCTAAGGGATCTAAGATGTTCAACATGGTACCACTTCCCCATTTCTCTCTGACCGCAATCAGGGCAAACAAGATTATTTTGGTGCAGTACCCAGATTTCTAGTGAGACTGGAATGCTTCTAGATATTCAGCTTTCTTAAAGTCTGTAGGTAAGCAGGAGCACTCTTTCTAACTCTTGGCTAAAAACTGGTTAGTCAGTGGATGATAGTTATCCAGATCCAGGAAATACTCCTTAAGGCGAGAGTGGGCTTCCTGTTTTTTAGTAACAGGAGGGTTTTGTAACCCTAATTACTCATAAAGTGAGATGATAATAGCACAGAATCAGGAGGACAGAGAAGTAGTGGAATATCATCTCATTAAAAAATGTCTGGGAATTGGCTGCAAGAATTTTTATTGGTGTTGGGTCTCAAACGTCACATGGGTGCCCTGTTAGGTGTTTGCGACTCAACATCTTCCCCCACTAAGCTAGGAAGGTAGCTTCTAGGGTGATCTTGAAAAATCTCAAGTTCTGAGATTCTTCCATTATCTGTGCTAAGGCTTGCTATTAAAAATTGAGTCAGATTTTCATTGAACTGTAAAGCATCTTCCTTAGAACATTATAGACCACAAACTGGAGAAATATGACTCACCCATTGTCATAGACATTATCCCTTTTGGGGGAGAGATTATTGCAATAACTCCTCAGTTATTTTTTTGTGTGAGATGGACAACCATACAAATTTAACAGATAAAGAAAAAGAAAAGGAGAGGAAGATGAGGTCTCTGAGTAACATAAAATATCTCAATGAAGGACACAGGATTGGCCTCCATGATGCAGAGCAGCTCACTGAGATGAAGCACAGCAGCTAGATAGATAGATTATGACCCTGCTAAAGAAACCTCTGTTTTTTGTTACTTTTGGCCTGGCACTTTGCAAGATGGAAAATTCATTCCCATTTTCTTTTGTTGCAGGCTTTAGAATGATTGTTCTTCTATAAAGCCCAACCTTATATTGAGGGAAGACTTTTTCCTGATTGACTGTGGCGCTCTCTTGGGCTGTTCCCCTATGAGATCATCGTCTTCTCTATGGGGTAAATAAGCATTTGCCTCTGAGAAGCCATGTCCGAGAGAGCCATAGAATAATTGCTCTGTCACCTAATGATGTTTATGCTAGATTAGCCACATTGCATTCTGGTAATTCAGTTTTCTCAGAATGTGAACAGGACTATAGCAGATGGTGGTATGTGGGGGATAGAGAACGGTATTTTTTAGCAGTAACTGGCATCTGACATATCTTATTTTTTCTGCCTAATTTAAAGAATTTTCACAAAAGTGAATGTGAAAACTGTTTGCAAGGTGTGGAAATAATTTTGCTCTTTTTAAGGATTTTTTTCCTCTCTTTTCATATGTGACTTGGCTTACTTCTTTGAGCCATCTGGTGCTAGCTGCTCTGCCAGCAACTTTCAACTGTACCCTCCTCTCTTTCTCAGTGATGCTAGTACTCTGATTTTTGCACTGCACAGAGTGATCTCTGAGCTGTAGGGAACTGTTGTTGGCAGCAAATTACTCAAGGTAACCTTAATTCCAATCAGCTTCCAGCTCATCTTGCCTGTTTGCTTCAGTGCTTGTTTGGAACTGAAATTCTTTCATTTCCATAAACCTCAAGAGTACCATCACATAGGTTGGACATTTGCTTCTCTCATGTAATTGTGTAATCCTCATAATGTGGGGATTATGGAATTAAAATCTAAACATTAGCACAAAGAATATTGGTAAAAACTGTGCTATTAGGCAGAGTTCCCACCACTTTCAGCATTTCTTGAAAATAATCTTATTTATTAAATTTATATGCTGTCTGTCTCACTATTCAAAGTGACTCTCTTATCATAGATGATGCATCTTCAGAATCAAATGTAGCTTCCTTGTACTTCCCAGAATTGCCTTGCTTACACCTATATTTTGATGTAGGAAACTAAGCGACTTGATAGTATAAATCTAATTAAAAGAATAAATTTAGTTTCTTTTTCAAATATAGACCCCTTCCAGTTATGGCTCCATTTGCATGCATGACATTATCCCTTTTATATCCTTACTTAATTTTCCATTTTGTACCTTACTTAATTTTCTCTATCCTCCACTCTGCCCTGTGTTTAAGTTCAGGGTCTAGCTGCCAAAAGATGGGTTAAACTTTTTCAGGGTGGACAGTATCCTCCTTTCTTGTTATTTTCCAACACTCGGAAAATTAGAAGTGTTGGTGAAGCATTATAGTTATGAAAACTATGCAAACAGCTAATACACAGTGGAATTCTCTAAACTAAAATTGAAAGCAAAGGAATAACTTTATGGAAAAGTATCATTCCTTTAATGTCCTTTTAGCACTTCTAAAATAAAAGCCTTAACTTTAAGTCAGCTGTTGGGGATGCTGCTTTCCAACTGTAGCCCTGATTTTTATTTTTGGGGGTTTTGTTTTTAATCTCAAATATGGGGGATACTCAAGTATTGGAAAATAAGTAAATTATACAGGAGTGGTATTGTCTGGCTCCTATCCACTAGAGCAGTGTTTCTCAGTCTTGATAACTTTAAGATGTGTGGACTTCAGCTCCCAGAATTCCCCAGTCAGCATGATTTTCTTAAAATTGCTAAAATCCCTCTGGTGGGACCCAGGAAGAGAGCCTTTTCTGCCACAATGCCTACCCTCTGGAATAGGGAGATTAGACAGATAGAGAACTTAAAGTCTTGTCCTGTTGAATCCATTTCTTTGGGTAATTTCTGTAGTGTTTGAAGGATAGAATGTGCCCTGGAGGAGGGAGGGAGAGAGGGAGGAAAAATAAAAGATTGTGCATTGTTTTAAGAAAATTTCATAAACAAAACAGCTCTCTTTTGAGAGATTGTGGGAAGGCTGGGAAAGTAATGGAAGTGAACAATCTAGAGATAGAAGGGAAACTGTTGAGGGCTTATCAACAAACATGATGGCAGAAAACCTAGAAACAATACTTTCAAATCATACAGAGAAACTCTGCCTTAATAAATGAATGATGGTTAGAAGTAAGAAGGGAAATTAACTGAGACCAAAAGGTAGTTATGTCTGTAATGCCACAATCTTATTCTTTCTTTCCGCAGTTATAAGAATGTGGTGACCCCCAGACGTGCAGGCATTGCTATTGGATGCTGTTGGCTGATCTCCTTCCTTGTGGGCATGACTCCGCTATTTGGATGGAACAAACACAAAAAGGGAAACACCACCTCCAGCGTCACTTGCCAATTTGCCAACGTCATCAGCATGAAATACATGGTGTATTTCAATTTCTTCGGGTGGGTGTTGCCTCCCCTGGTCCTTATGCTCATCATCTACATAGCTGTCTTCAAGATCATTCGCAAACAACTCAGCAAAAAGTTTGGATCCAATTCAGCATGCCCAGAAAAATATTACGGGAAGGAACTGCAAATTGCCAAGTCTCTTGCCTTGGTGCTATTCCTTTTTGCTCTGTGCTGGCTTCCTCTGCACATTTGCAACTTTGTCACCCTATTAGATCCTAAATTGAAGCACTTGCACATCTTCACCTCTATTGCTATATGTATGACTCATTGGAACTCAGCCATGAACCCTATTGTTTATGCATTTAGGATTAAAAAATTCAGGACCACATTCCTGCAAATCTGGAACCAGTATTTTTATTGCAAAGTGGACAGGAATGCAAACAATATTGGTAATACTGACATTGCTATTTAGGAGTCATGGGCTGCAGTGTTTGGGGCTGCAACCTTCATGCTGTACAGGTTGATCTATAAATATTCCTTTCATTGTCCATTGTCTCTGAGTAGGCAAAGCTCAGAGGCAACCAAGAGTATTATTTATTACTTCTACTAGCAATATTCCTTGTACCACTTGGCATTCTGTTCTTAAATTGGCATATATTTACCTATTTAAAGGAGAAATATACCAACAAAAAGCTGTGACATATCTTTCATTCCAATAAAGAGGAAATTAATCTCAGTGGTTTTGTTTTTCCTGTAGGGATTTGCAATATACTGTAATAAATGTTGAAGTCCTCAATATAAGATAATCCAGAGAAAAAAACAAAGAGAAATATGGAAGAAAATCTTGTCTTCAATGGTTGTAAAACATAGGCACTATCTATATTTAATATTGACAAGTATAATAGCTAATAAGAGTTTGTATGAGCAAAATCAGAGAAGCAATTCATATCCTCATATGTTCAGCAATTTAGTGCCAATTGTAAGCTTATTTCAGATGCCACTAAGTATTATGTGACTTTTTTTTCTTTCTGCCATAAATCTTTACACATATAATACCAGATTAATTCAATACATCAGCAAAAATACAACTGAATAATAGACGACAGTGGGTTCTGCCAACTTGGTGAGGTTCAAAAGGCCTTCTGCAGATCCTAACTCCATCAAGGAGCCGGAATCTTCCCTGAGGTGCTTCCCCTCTTCTGGACAAGGATGTCCCTGAAGATAGGGTTGGCCCATCATTGTTGCAGTTGCTGATGTCTATTAAAACTTGAGTTTTCTAGACAATCTTTGGGACAAGCAAGCTGTGATGGTCCTAAGTATAGGCAGTGCCAGTTGACTGTAAAATCAAATATTTACTATGGTCAAAAACCAGCATAAAGAGAACAGGGTACAGCTAATTAAAAGAATGAAGTAATACCTCAACGTTTTTAAAAATAATATTAATTATAAAATGCTGAAAACTATAAATATATTGTACATATAAAAGCAAAAGCCCAAAAGGAGGGATAAAACATTAGATTGGTGAAGGAGAGCATACGGTTAAATATGGCAAACTAAATCTATTACAGATCATGTGGTGGGTTTTAAGCACTGTTGTGGGAAACCTGGCAACATCGTGTGTTGTAGCAGTTTAGTATCTGAAAGCAGCAGGGAGGTATAAAATTGGCCTGTGTACCCTGGGAATTTATGCAATAATAGTGAGATGAGGCTAGTACAGGGGTTTCTATAATACAGGCACTGGAGGAGTAAATGCTGTGTTGTTTCTGTGAGTTCAGAATCACAGGGGCATCGGCTCTCTGGGTAGGGAATTTTCTGGTATCTACGCTCAAGGACAGCTGACAGGGAGTCTGACATTGTACTATACAGCGTAAGTGATTAAGCACTTTGAGATTAGTTAAGTATGCCATGGGAAAGGCACAGTAACCTGTTGGATTCACTGGCAATAAAGTTGGATTCCTTGCTAGGTCCAGCTGACTGTGGGTTAATGACATTTTTCTAATTTTGGATGATGGGTATTGATTGCAGTTTATCTTAGTACTGACAATGTAAACAATGCAGAGCTGTTATCAACTGGAGTGCCATATAAGATGAAATAAATAATAAACAAATAAATACTTCTTGGGGGGTTTTGTGTCTCTTTGTTGCCACCTGGTGATCATGTGGAATTTTGCTACCCAAAATTTTGCTACCCCAAAAAGAATTTTGCTACCCAAAAAAGGCAACACAGTTCTAAGCTGCATAAACAGGGATAGAATCAAGATCATTCATGTGAAGTGTTAATACCACTTTATAATGCCTTGGTAAGGCCACACTTGGAATACTGCATCCAGTTTTGGTCGCCATGATGTAAAAAAGATGGGGAGACTCTAGAAAGAGTGCAGAGAAGAGCAACAAAGATGATTAGGGGACTGGAAGCTAAAACATGAAGAACAGTTGCAGGAACTGGGTATGTCTAGTTTAATGAAAAGAAGGACTGGGGGAGACATGATAGCAGTGTTCCAATATCTCAGGGGCTGCCACAAAGAAAAGGGAGGCAAGCTATTCTCCAAAGCACCTGAGGGCAAGACAAGAAGCAATGGGTGGAAACTAATCAAGGAGAGAAGCAACTAAGAACTAGGGAGAAATTTCCTGACAGAACAATTAATCAGTGGAACAATTTGCCTCCAGAAGTTGTGAATGGTCCAACACTGGAAGTTTTTAAGAAGATGTTGGATAACCATTTGTCTGAGGTGGTGTAGGGTTTCCTGCCTAAGCAGGGGGTTGGACTAGAAAACCTCCAAGGTCTCTTCCAACTCTGTTATTCTATTCTATATCTAGTAGCCCTTGATGCGAAGGAATTGTCTTAAGATTTCATTTCAAGTTTCCTCTTTACAACAATACAATCTATATCCAATTTGGATATGCACAATTCTAAGGACAGTTTGATATCTTAAAATAAAAATGCTTTTACAGAAATGCAAGATTAAGATGTTAAATTAATTGACCATTTGCTTCAAATCTGCCACCTTTATCTAGACATCTCACTTTGTCAAGCAAAAACATCTATCTTCACTTTTTGAATGCATGCATCATGATTGCAGTTACACTTGCAGTCAGGAAAATGTTTAAACTGTATTGATTTGTTTCAGTGAACTTCCTAGAGGTGAATAATTGGAAGAAGCAGGTCTTCCAATCCAGATGGTGGATTACAATTTTGAGTATCCTGGATGATTGGCTAAATTCAGGAGGAAGAGGTCAACAGATTCTTTTATAATTGATCTAGACATGCAGATGAGATTAAATTCAGCTTCCCTACCTATAAGGTACTTACTACGGGTAGTTCTCACTTTATGAGAAGTTATGATGGACCCCCAAAGGTACTTACAGCCCAGTTTCAATGGCCACACCTCCCCCATTATCATGTGATTGTATCTTGGCCTCTTGACAATTGCCTTGCATTTAGGGCTATTTGTATTGTTCTGCATTTGTATGACTACATTTTTTGCTGATTTCCCAAGATTTCTGAGGTTTCTGCCAAAAAAAATGCCCATTGGATAAAATGGATTCATTTCATGACTTCAGCATGCAATTAATGACTGCAGTGTTCACTTAATAACAAACACAGAAATCATCATAAAATTGGATATGACTGATATTTAATGACTGCCTCAACTTCTGGGCTCAATTACAGTCATAAGTCAAGGACTACCTATGCATAGTGGTGGGATTCAAGTAATTTAACAACTGGTTCTCTGCCCTAATGATTTCTTTCAACAACCAGTTTGCCAAACTGCTCAGAAAGTTAACAACCGGTTCTCCCTAAGTGGTGCGAACTGGCTGAATCCCACTACTGCCTATGCATCTAAATAAGTAGAACTAATCATATATCACAGTAGCTTTCTTGGGAAGGAAGAAGAGAATTTTCTTGGGAAGGAAGAAGAGGCCCTGAAAAAAATCTATAAATATTGAAGCACCAGACTAGATAATGAACTGTCAGATCAAATAATATCAGTGAATTCCAAAATGGACATAATCAAGAAGCCAAAACAGGACCAGGCCACGAAATTGACCTGTGACTTGTGTTTTCTTTCTTCGTTTTTTCCAGTCTTGATGTTGAATTAATGTAGATTAATTAACAATATAGGCAGGCAACATTTCTTCCTTTCTTTTCATCAGAGGTATTAAATTGATATTATGAAAAATAATTCTATTTAGTAATCTGAGCAGTACAACTAACTAATGCAGACCAGAGAGACCTACATATTATAAAATTATCACTTCTACAAAATTGAAGACAATTAGCTGATAGAGCAGCATTTCTCGACCTTGACAACTCTAAGACATGTGGATTTCAACTTCTAGAAATTCCCAGCCAGCATAACTTGACTAGCTGGGGAATTCTGGAAGCTAAAGTCCACATGTCTTAAAGTTGCCAAGGTTGAGAAACACTGCCTTAGAGCATATAATCAATGAAGGTTGGCTTCTACATATTTCTTTGCTTCTATTGACCATGAATAACCTTGATTTCAGAGTAACATACAATCCTATTATTTTAGGTTACCTAACCTAACTGCAAATCTACAGCAGTTTGAAGAATGAAGGGTCCAGAAACTGCCATGGTCAAAGGATGGTTAGAAGCCTGTGTGCACCAAGAGTCCAATTAACAAGCAATAGCATTCTGCTTACATTTGTATTGTTGTTTCAAAGTACTCCCATTTCAGCAGTGCACATATCATAGCATCAAACTTCCTTTCCGTATGATTATCGGCTTAATAAATGTCCATGCCTTTCATGAAATAAGGTAGTCCTATGTTCTGAAATGTGCTGGAATCTCTTTTTTTCCCCCAGTGGAGAAAGAAGACAAATAATCCAGTTGCTTTAAAATACTTTAGCAACAGTTCTCAACTAATTAATTCATGCCTAAAGAGAAAGCAGGCTACCAGCTTTTGATAATAAGAACAGAGATTCTCTTGAAGTAGCTATCAGCCAGATTGTCTTGTCTCTTTATTTTTGTTTTATACTGAATTGCCTGGTCTTTTTTCCCCTTGACTAGACAAGTTCTAGAAATAAGCAGAGAAAAAAGATGAATACATAGTAACATGCAGGTCTCAGAAGTTCCCTGAAAGACTCTTCCATTATTCTAAGTACAAAATTGGGAAAGGGAAAAAGACAAAAAGAATGGTATTGGCTCCTCCACTCTGTCTTACTCTCTTTTTGTCCTTCTAGTCACACATAAGATAACTCTTTGCATTGTTCCTGTAAATCCAGTAAGGATCTCCATCTGCCATTGGTTCCTCTTCAGAAAAATCACAAGGTAACACACGTAACTCTCTTTTAAGAATCTAACCATAATAATTTAAAATTATTGATTATTTAATCAAAAGGATATTGCCAAACTAGAGAAAACGCTGAAATAGATAACCAAAGTTATCAATAGGCTATAGCACAATGTTTAGGCTTTTTTTTTAAAGCAAAAGAAACAGATGAATATCGAAGATTATGATAAAGGTTTCCAAAATTATCCGTGCAGTGGATACTTCTTTTATCATAATCATACAGCTGCTGAAGAACTCAATGCCAAACTAACTCTAAATGTCAGTTACTGGAAAGTATAAACAGCAGGATTCTGTTTTACTTTACTTTTTTTTTTTTTTTGCTGCTGGCCTGGCAAAAAAGCAGAATGCAAAAGTAGATAGGTCTTTGTTAGGATTCAGTGCAGTGGTGGGTTGCTCCCGGTTCTGTCCAGTTCTTGCGAACTGTACATAAAAGTGGTGGGAGGCTCCGCCCACCCGCCCGGACGTCATAATGGATGATCTGCGCATGCGCAGAAGTGCATGGGCGAGCGAAGCTTCCATTGTGAACCGGTAGTAAAGGTAAGTAGAACCCACCCCTGTTTCAGTGGGTTATATTCTGATGAGCTTGTAGAGTTTCCTCTAAATTAAGCTCAGCTCCTGGTAACTTCATAGATGCCTCCATGTAGTTACTGGCAACAATATTGAAGTGGTTTTCACAGCTTCTTCTGGGATATTTGTTCTGCTTCTCAGTGAAGCCTATAGTCATACAGTTCCTCACTGGAGTTCTAACCAAATGTAACCCTCCTGTGTAGCTTCCAAGCCTAGATGAGGTCACCTGGGCACCTCAACCTGCTGAGCCTCTGATGAGTTTAAGGGTGACAAATGGGAAACAGATTGTATGTGGAGGAATAAAGAATCACAATGCAAAGAGTATCTTCTGACAAACAAATCTTATCTAACCAATGGCTGGAAAGAAAAGCACAGGTCCTGAATATTTTTGTATTGTACAATAAGGGAAAGCCCCCCCCATTGTCCAGAATTCAAAAAATCCTTTCCTGTCAAAAGAGGAAACTTTCCTGGGTGTAAGTGGTCAGCTGTTGCAATGTTTATCAACAGCAGTGGAAGATAAATGATTTGAATTTGGAAGTGAAAATATTCCTTCCCTCTCTTCTCTGTCTAAGGAAAAGAGGTATATTCCAGTGGTGAAATCCAATTTTTTTTACTACTGGTTCTGTGGGCGTGGCTTGGTGGGTGTGGTGTGGCTTGGTGGGTGTGATGTTGTTTGGTGGGTGTGGCAGGGGAAGGATACTGCAAAATCTCCAGTCTCGGACCAGCCAGAGGTAGCATTTGCCGGTTCTCTGAACTACTCAAAATTTCCACTACTGGTTCTCCGAACTACTCAAAATTTCCGCTACCAGTTCTCCAGAACCTGTTGGAACCTGCTGGATTTCATCCCTGGTATATTCTCTGCTGTTACATTCATATCTGGAGAGGTCCCTTGGAAGACGCATTCTAGTTCACTGTTCCCAAATAGTGTAAAGCAAGAACTCTTGTCTGAGAGAGTTTCTTCAAGAAATGTTTCCTGCTCTACCATTCAAATCAACAGCAAAACCAGTAATTTCACAACAAACCCCACCCCCTTTTATTTGGGAACCAAACAGCAACCAGTCAATTTAAATTATGGATAGAATGGGAATGAACTGAATTAAGCAGTGTAAATGATTTATACTTAACAGCAGTTGAAATCATTGCAAAAAAAAGTGGGAAAGAGTCACTCAGCCAGTTAAGCACTTCTAAGACCTCAAAAAACACTTTGTCTTATTTATTCATTTCTTTTATAG